TTAAGAAAATTTTAAATTAGTTTTCATATTACGAATTCTATAAAAATGATTACTTCATCTATAAAAAATATGTTTAAATTTTCAAATAGTAAATAATAAATAACGCGTTCGGTGTTGTCTGTTGTAGCTTCTATATATGTTACAATAAAAAAAAAAGACGTCAAATGTGAGTGTTAGATAATAGCAAACTCTCATAATATTGATTTTGTTTGTGTTTAACCGACCATAAGATAGAATCCTTATAAAAATTCAATTGACAAGTGGCAGGATAGGAAAATAGCTTTTAGATAAATTTGCAATCTTTCTTCAGAAAATAACAGAGGTGTTACTCTCGTCATACAATTTGCTTGTGGCAATTTGAAAAATGATATTATTATTCATTATTATATTTTCATAATTCTCTTAGGATATTTAATTGTCCCAAGATGTTTAATTATATTTTTCTGACCTTTTCGTTTTCTTGTAGACTTGTGAATAAGTTATAATACAAAAAATTATTTATATATTTCTGTAATTAATAATAAATTTAAAGCGAATAAATTAAAAATTTAAAAAGCCTCTTTTCTAAAAATGTAAAGCGAAACTTCTTAGAAGTTTTTGAGAGGAAATTTATCGTGTTTTTATGAAGAAAATCAATTAATACTTTTAACTAGTTTTATCTCAGGGGCATTTTAATATAATGAGAAGCATACAAATAAGACTAACAAAAAGTAATGATAAAAATTCTTATAATCTAATGATATTACCAGTTTGAAGCTCTTAATGGATTTAAATTAGACGTAAAAAATTTATTTCAGTAAATATAATTGCTTTTTTTTGTACGAGAATTTATATCTGGAAAAAATATTTTGATAAAACATTTCCATTTATGGTTTAATAACATTTTAAAAATACAATGAACATAAAGTGACATCGTGCGATTTACGAGAATTATGACGTTTCAATCGCATAATACTGACTTCTTATGAGGTAAGTTGAAATTAAAATTCCGATAAAAATAAAACAAAATAAAGTAATTTAATAAATTGTAATTAACAGCAAGATTGTTTTATTTGTATCCGACTTAAACGTATAAATTTTGATAAGAGTCCTATGAGAGAAATTGAGGACAAGTCTGTGGTTTATAAATATCCCAGTTGTTCATTAATCATGTTGCGGCAAAATTTGCCATTCATAAAGCATAAATTTGGCATTCAGTTGTTGTGTTATGAGCTTTTCTTATTATTATATTTATATGCATATTAAACGCTTTTAGCAACTTATTCTTTCCTTAGCATATTTAACAAAACGAGGTGCAAGTAAATGTAAATTAAAGCTAATTCCTTCCCTATCAGGCTAAACTCTATTATCTATTAAATTTATTCGTTAAAGTGAATAGATTTGAATCGTTTATCTATATTAAAAATTACTAAATATTTACACACTGATAATTTAAAGTAAAACTTCAATTATTTATAAAGTAACTAGATGAATATTTTACTTAAAAAGTTAATAAATATATACAAAAAAAAAAAAAAAAATTCATGATACCTAAAGAAAATTTGGAATTTTTGTTAACGAACGCCATCTGGTGAACATAATTTCTTATTTTTATTTTGTTCAATATAACTTAATCGTATGCAATATATAAGAGAAGAATAAAAGTTGTATGGAAAAGGGACGTTAAGAATTTGATTCCCGTAAAGAAAGTAAATGTTCCTAACACTATTTTATTAGTTTTAAAGTAATGCAAATGTATGTCAGTGGCGGATATTTAGTCTACTTATCATAATTAAAACAACAGTTTGTAAATGAAAACGATTTTGTATCAGATATTTTTCATATTTGTAAAATGAGACCTATTGATTTTAAGAGCGATTCAACAGCAGAAACGGAAATTATTAATATTTTAATTTTATACCGATCAAAGTATTAATAATTTCCGAATCAAATCACGTCGTTTATCAACGCGCCACCTATGTATATACCTCAATATTATTGATAATTAATTTTATTCTCAATCTGAAAAAATATACTATTTGCCATTGTTTGTACAGATTAATTAGAGATAAATCTGTATATATTTGTATATATACATCTGTATATATTTGTATGTTTATGTATCTTAATTTTTAATACTCTGTATTGAACATTTTACATTTGTTGAATAGAATAATTAGTAATAATAATTATATTCTTTGGTACCTTAAGATCTAACTCTCAATTAATTATATTGCCAAGTGTAATGATGGTAATTGTTTCGAATACATCTGTATAGGCTATATGATATGTATTTTTGTACATCGTATTTTATAAAATCAACATATTTATATTAACGATAAAATCCGTAATATTTTTCATTTATGTGCTTTTTCTTATTACTTTTGTATATGAAAAGTATAGCCTAAAACATTTGTTTTTAGGTTTTTTTTGTTTTGTTTCTTTTATACGCAACACTTTTGTAGAATTTAACGTTTGTTTTAAATAAATAAATAAACATATAACTTATACTGAATCTTACTTTTTAGTGTGGTCTAAATTTAGGCGTCATATCACATTTATTTTATTCTGTTCCACGTAATAGCATTATAAAATCTACATAAACCTGTGAAGAATCATGCTGTGATAAAACAGCAATAAAACAAGTTTTTCTACATTTATTACTTAGTAAAAACATAGTAAAAAAAGTAAAAAAAATACAATAATTGTAATTTGTAATTGTAAGTTTTTTTACTAAGGTTTATTTTAGTTGCACGTAGTCCCAATTTTTATAATAGAATGCGTGACGCCTCATTCATAAATATTATATAAAAAATTGTTATAGTACATGGAATCATTTTTTATACGTGTGGTAAAAGAGAAATAAAGGAAAATATGTTTAACAAATATTAAATAAACCTGAAATTATAGATTCTAAAATTACCATTAAATGATATTAACAGAGCTAGATATAAAACAAATGTATAGATTTACACAGCGAATTATTATTAAATGCGATAATTTTTCTAAACGTTAGAAGAAATAAAATTAAATTTTTAAAATGTTTTTATGAATATATATGCAATTTTCTGCTAAAATATATAAAATATACAAAATATATAAATATATAAATATATAAAATAACGTATTTCAGTAATATTTTAAAATAATAAATTAAAGATTGATTAAATGTATAATTTTTTTTAACTATGATCAATGTAACAATGACATGACAACCTCAAATTTTTTAACTGTTTCCTATAAAAGTGTCTTAGAAATCATTATTCATATAATTTATAAACTATTCTTATGTGAATGGACATAGCATTTATAATAAATGAATATATTTCGTAATTTTAAATGAAAAAACTCTTATAAATGTTGGTTATAGAGTAAAATTTATAGTTTTAAGTATAATTAATAAACTATATATATTTTTATAATTATTATACATTAAAAACACGTGAAATGATTTATTTATAAAAATAATTTGACAATAACATAGTTTTAAAAGTTGTGCATCGTTTTAAGTAAATTTATTATAATACATAATATACATTTATATCCGAAAAAGTTTAAAATCATATTTATTGAATTTTTAAAATTGTAAAATATTCATTTATGTATAATAATTTTACATATCTAATGTACAAAATATTCTTTTGTTGTAATTCGTTATATTTTAAAGGAGAAAACAGATTTTAAACTGCTATAAAATTTTCTTCACATGGAAAAAATATTATCGGGGTTAAAAATCAGATAGAAGAAAAAGAAGGAAGATAATGAAGGCATTTCCGTAAGTCATCCATCACTGCATAACAACATTTTCATATACATTTTTTTTCCTAAAAAAACTACTGTACTTGAGAATATTACCATCATTAATCGAAATAAAACTAGTTATTCTTTTTTTTTAAGTTTCTATTAGAAATATAACAAATTAGAAGTGTTCTTCAGTTTTTAGTACGTATAAATATGTTTACAAAATAGGTATAGAGTAGTTGAACTTAAGTGCTTTTTAACAGTTTTATTCAACGTTTAAATTATCCATTAGGTTCAAATCAATTGACTTTCTTTTTGTGTGATAGCAATTGATGGTACTCTTCCTTTTATCACTTGATTACTTTTTTATACTGGTCGTTGTTTATAGTTGAGAAAATGTCATTTTCTCGAAATGAGTATTTTTTTACTTATATTTTGTTTCGTGTAATTTATTTCTTTAAAATGTTCAACTGAGCTAGATTTTAAGATTAATATTATCGACTGGTTGCATCGATTAAATAAAACCGGAAGGTTGACGTCACTAAGACGTCCGGTTAATCGATCTATAAGTTCAAGTACGGGGGCGGAAGTTGCATACCGTACTACAACACGCCGTCTATCGGTTTCTGGAAAATCCATTGACGCCATTTGTCGTGGGATGGTACCCATTTCTATCTTTCTGGGATGGGAAAGGTTGTAGAAAAGAGCAGGGAAATTTGCGATGTGACCGGAAGTCGAATGAAGTATTTAACAATCCAAAGACGTACGAAAGTTCAAATAAAATTGTCGGTATTATTTTGAATTTCGGTTTACTCGTTATGAGATCTATGACGTAGCATCAGATAGTACAAAGGTAAAAAGTGCGCTAATATTAGAAATGTAGGACACATACGGCTCCACCCAATGTCTCACTCGCTCTATTATATGCCCCGTTATAGAAGTTGATCGATTAGTTCTCCTCCTTTCACCCCACCGTAGCTGTTACCATGGAAACTTAGCAATGGTTAAGTTATCGGAATTATCAATAAGATTTCCATAATGTCAGTGACATAACTTGGTCCCAAAAAAGTTTATACCTTTTATATAAAACAACCGATACAGAGAATAGTGACGTAACGAACAAACTGGCCAATCAACTTTCGAGGTCCGTTTCTACTCAGGTGTGCGCCGCCTCTAAGAAAAATCGGTTCTAGTATGCGATCAATGAAACTAACGGTCACTAAGGCAACAAGAACCGACTAAGCGTTTAGCCTTTAGGTTTGCACAGAAGTACTCGGTAGCTATACGAGACACGATGGTACGATGGGGATCCCCCATTCGTCTTATACGCCTTTCTGTAGGACAGAGGAGGAGGCATTCAACTAATGCCAATTCACGTTACGAACTCGTATCTAGAGTACCGAATCCCCGACCTCAACCTAGACATGCCGCCAGCAGTGGTAATCTGTATGTACTTAATTCTGTATCACAGCACAGCACCTATGTATATGTATTTTTTCCATATATCACTGCACTCTAACACTATAACCGTGCATGGCTTTGCTTTTATATATTTCTCTTTTATATATAATTCCCCACTTATTCATTATCCTACATATACTTTTTTTCCATTTATTATTAAACCGTTTTAAAAATTTCAACTGTGTCAATAAATTTTAATAATGCTAACATATACTGTTATAAGAAAATAAAAATTAGATTTTAATAAATGTAACATAAATTAATGTTACATCTGTATAGGCTATATGATATGTATTTTTGTACATCGTATTTTATAAAATCAACATATTTATATTAACGATAAAATCCGTAATATTTTTCATTTATGTGCTTTTTCTTATTACTTTTGTATATGAAAAGTATAGCCTAAAACATTTGTTTTTAGGTTTTTTTTGTTTTGTTTCTTTTATACGCAACACTTTTGTAGAATTTAACGTTTGTTTTAAATAAATAAATAAACATATAACTTATACTGAATCTTACTTTTTAGTGTGGTCTAAATTTAGGCGTCATATCACATTTATTTTATTCTGTTCCACGTAATAGCATTATAAAATCTACATAAACCTGTGAAGAATCATGCTGTGATAAAACAGCAATAAAACAAGTTTTTCTACATTTATTACTTAGTAAAAACATAGTAAAAAAAGTAAAAAAAATACAATAATTGTAATTTGTAATTGTAAGTTTTTTTACTAAGGTTTATTTTAGTTGCACGTAGTCCCAATTTTTATAATAGAATGCGTGACGCCTCATTCATAAATATTATATAAAAAATTGTTATAGTACATGGAATCATTTTTTATACGTGTGGTAAAAGAGAAATAAAGGAAAATATGTTTAACAAATATTAAATAAACCTGAAATTATAGATTCTAAAATTACCATTAAATGATATTAACAGAGCTAGATATAAAACAAATGTATAGATTTACACAGCGAATTATTATTAAATGCGATAATTTTTCTAAACGTTAGAAGAAATAAAATTAAATTTTTAAAATGTTTTTATGAATATATATGCAATTTTCTGCTAAAATATATAAANAAACATATATATATATATATATTTTAAAAGTTAATGATCCTTTCATCTCATTATATTTATTACAAGAACTTCAGATAATTTTAAAATACCTTTCTTCAACTTTATTAATCTGATCATAATAATTGACTTTGTTATAAAGAATAGTCATTTATTTTAATCATGTTTTTTATGAGCCAAACATATTTGATAAATCAGAAAAATACATTTACTTTTAATAATCATTTCGTTACTCTAAATTCTTGAATACTTTAAATCGTTCTCAACATTTAATGCGTTATTATTTTTAAAAGAATAATTTAAATATACAAAATGCAATATATATATATAATTGTAAATGTAAAAATAATGACAAGAAGCAATACCTGTTTATCATTTATTTTATTTTTTCTGTGTTCTTCCTTTTTTAAAAATAGTTACAAAAATAGATTCCGACTATTTACGTTATATAAGCAAAAATAATATTATTTTTAACGCTTCTAATAGTTTTTAATGTAATATTTTAAGCTGCGAATTCCAGTTTTATATCTCACTGATATTTACTCTAGGTCATTTCAAAAATATAAAATTCCTAGAAAATTACGCGACTAAATATCATACTTTGTTTTAGATGACCTTAACTAAAGTTGCCATTACAAATATAATTTTATCAATCTGCACTATTTCTATACCCAACGAAAATGACAAATCAAAAAATTAAAAAATATATACCTTCTTTTCTACAGATTTAAATGAATAAACGTTATATTCAACAAGTAAGAATCATTATTTAAAGTATAATAATGGTAAAGAGAAGAATTTATTTTATAAAATTAGTCATTTAGTAAAATTAAAATATTTCTATTAAACTTTATTAATAAAATTGGCAATTCTTAAGTACAAAAAGGCAAATATAAACAGATGTAGAATAGATTATTTTAAATTTTAGTGTACTGTATACATTAGCCTATATAAGGTATATTAATTGAAATTTGTGATACTCTGTTGCACATTTAATAAAATATTAACTGTTTTTATCAAATTATTATTTATGTACATTAAAAATTATTTATTTAATATTAACATATTCTGTTTTTTTTAAAATAAATATTAGAATGTTATCATAATTGATTTAAATCTAAAATAATAATTTAGAACGATGAAAAATAGAATATAAAATGTAAGAAGCAAGAATCAGGTATATAAATATGCAATTTAATTAATTTTGCACATATTTTTAAAATAATTGTTTAACAGTTGTTTGATAAATTATAGTGTGTTCCTGGGTCACTAACTTTCTGAAATGTAATTTAAACATTTATTAATATTAATTCTATTAAGAAAACGAAAAAAAATTATTTTTTAGTACAATAAACATTAAGCAAATTAAAGTTAGATAATTGTCTGAGTCTAGTGAATTAAACCTAATTATAATAAAATATTTGATAAATTACAAAATGATTAAAGACTTTTGAGATAAATATGCATGTAACCAAAACATTGCCGATACTAAAAATGTATTAAAATATTTTATTAATCATTAGATAAGCGAATTTCGTAAGTTTATGTGTTTGGATTCTCCACAAGGTGATTTTTAAAGGTCAATGGCATTTTGACGATTCTAGTAAATTTGCATTCCTCCCAATCCAAAATTATCGATGGCTGTATGATATTTTTAGCATATTAATTTATAAAATATTTATAACTAGATGAGAGATATGCCAAAAAAATTAAAATACCTGGGACAAATTGAGGAATCGAGCAAAATTTTCGATGCCAGAAAGTACTCATGTTTTTCGCAATTACTCATATTAAACTTTCGAGTTTTTCAATCTTAATAAATTTTTCTAGCAGCAGCTCAGCTTACAAATGTAAATTTCAAATTAAGTTTTTAACTGTTTTAGAATTAATGATCGTAATTCTTCATCTGGATTAAAATGATTACTTTAATCATTCTTTCTTCTTGTAGTTTTTCATTCTATTGGAGTAATTTATTAATCATTTTTAACTAAAAAAATATTTAAATACATAAATTCTCTGACCGTTGACTCGTATCAAGTATAATATATGATATTTTTAACACATAATATATTTATTGTAGCTACAACTCTTTAATTTTAAATAAGATTAATAATCAAAGTTAATAATGTTTATAAACTACAAGTAAGGTTATTGAATTTTTTTTTTAGTTTTAAAATATTTTTTACCGGAAATATTCAATATTAAATGACATATATCATTGTTAAATGCACTAAAATTTTAAAGACGTAGAAATAATTAAATTGAAGCAATATTTTATAAGCATTTTTCCAGTTATTCTATTTAAATCTGAAGTTTTAATTATCTTCAGGCGTCTTATCTAATAATAACTATTTAAAATTAAAAATGCAGATGCGCTACACGAAAATTAAATCTTGCAATGAAATCGGTAAAATTTATACANTTATTAAAATATTTATTAAACTTTCTTATAATACATTTAAATATATTCTAAGAAAATAAAAATATAATAAAATTTACGTAATTATTAATTATCAAACAAATTAGTTTATAATACGTTTCTCATGTCATAGAATTAAACGCATGCCTATAACCTATGATCGATTCGTTATAACTATATGGTCCATCTATACAAAAGTACTTTTTATCGATTGAAAGCCTATATCGTATTCTGTTTCTTTGTAATGATAAGTACGAAATTCTGAATTTCTCTGGTGACATAACTCGCATTCTTCTGTTTATTTACTAAGATAAAGTCCAGATCTCATTATAATTACAACACTTTGATTATATTATGCACAGGAAGTAACAATCAAACTGTCAAATAAATTATATATACACGTGTATAACTTACTTATTTAAAACTTCATTCTTGTTTCGTTAGAATTAAGAATCTTTATCTTTTAAGTATAATTGCTCCACAATTATCTATTATATTTTCTAATAGGTTCAAAACACTTACTATAATATTTTAAGATATATTTTAACGTCATTTGAAAAGCTCAACTATTGAAAATAAAAATAATTTAAATAGATAATCCGTGGTTTTTAATTTATAAAAGTCATAAAATTCCTTTCGTTAATAGATGTAAAACGTTGTTTCTATCAGTTAATTACATTGAAAATAAATAAATGACATTATTGATTTAGATTAAATATAAATAAATAACCGAATTTATATTTTAAAATATATTTTTATTTAATTTAAAGTACAAATAATAAATGCAATTCACATTTCTTAAAAATATTATAAAGTATACTGCTATATGATTTTTGCAAATAGAATATTGCTACGCTAATGACATTGAAATTATTTAGTAAATTATAATAATTTAATTATTATTATCTTTATACTGCATGTTAGTTTATTTTATTTTTGAACAACAATAATACTTTTTTAATAAACAGAGTCAAAACAGCTATATTCATATACGTAAAAATATTATATAATTATATCAATACATACAGTGAACACATTTTACACAAATGTATAAAGAATATTTAACAACAGAAATGAATTATTATCTTGTAAAGACAAATTGGCTAGATAATTAGGGAATAACTCTGTTACAGGGGATAGAGTTTCCTATTTGTGAACATTTACAAGACATTATACATTTTATACATTAATTAAATATTGCAAACAATAAAACAATCCCGAACGTATCATTACTACATTAATACATAACTTTAAGGTCATATGTTGTTTTTATATAGTCTAAATAATCACAATTTTTAGTATATGATATAAAGAAAATTCTATAGAATAACACTAAATATAATTTGCATTATAAAATTTAATGTATTTCCCCCAAATCCCAGGAAATATTTATTTGGTTTTAACTGTGAAAAGCATCTTTGAAACTAATTGCCAAATTTAAATTATGAAATTTTAAAAAATTCCATAATTACATTAAAAATTTAATAAAATTTACGCATTTAACACACTGTTTGCAAAATTAACATTTATTTGCATAATTTAAATATTAAAAACAAAATTATTAAAAAAAATTTTTTTTAACTTAAGGATATTTAATATAAACTCTGCATTTACAAAGTTTTACCAATCTCACGAAATTAAAATATTAATTTTTTAAAAATAAACTTTTATAAAGTAAAAATAATAGCATGTTTAGCTATCAGTTCAGCATTTACATGCTCACAGCAAATTAGTGATTATTCTCACCTCAGGATTCTTTAATGAAATTTTCAACTATACAATGGTGATACTTAATAACTCTGTAGGCATCTTAATCACACCTAAACCAGAACAACAATATTGGCTATTTCTGTTTAAATTATAGGGATCAGTAAGAATGTATTATAATTAATTTAATAAAAAAATAAAAGGCGAATTTCATAGTTTTTGAGGGTGCACTTTTTAAAGTAGCATATTTTATTGAAAATAAACCGACAATATTAAATTGCATAAATTGTATTAATTAATTAAATTTAATTTCCGAGTTTAAAAATATACTGTACATCTTAAGACTTTTGCATCCACTTTGTTTTGTTGTCGTTAATATTTATTTTATAAGAATATTCTCAAAAATTCAAATTTTTGCTTCTGTTTCGGTACTTGAGATTATGACGAAATTATTATTAAATTTGATTAATAATTTTTGTGGTATTTTAAAGTATAGCTTGAGCGAGGGTTTTCGGGATTTGTAACCAAATAGCAAAGGTGACATTTAAAAACTATATGACATTTTTGAGGAAAAAATGACCAAGGCGGTTTAATGACATACAGTAAAATTTTAAACTCGTTTTTAAATTTAAATGGAAAAATATTTACAATAAATAATTTTAATATAAAAATAAAATAAACAATTTTATTTGTAGCGACATAACAATTTACGCAACGTCTTTGAAATGAGGGCGCTAAGGACACAGCGCTGCCACTTCCCTCTATCGGACATTTTCGGAGGCAGTGGATTACAGACATGACGCTGTGGAAAAATGAAGCTGGGGGAGAGGCTGTAAAGCAGCGCACGCACTATACAGTTAACCGATCTGTGTGCCTCATCATATGGGTGCAGTTGAATATAGCGCTTACTTTGAATATTTCTTTTTGTGTTGTTATCTAATTATGAATGTCTTAGTAACGGTTCCAGGTGCCTCAAACAATCGTGCCACTTCTATTAAGTATATTGTGTCAGAAATATTTTGCTGCTAGTTACAACAATCACCATGTCTATTAGAAGAATATCGGGGTAAGTGTTTAAGTTTAGAGAAAAAAAAAAAGGAAATAAGAAAAACTAAAAAAAGCTGCCCATTTACGTATATATATGTGTGTACATAGGTAACAGTTTGGGATTAAAATCGAGTGATAACAATTGTTAGTTTAGAATAACGTTTTTAGCAGATTAAAAGTCATTTCTAGGATTCTGAAAGGAGTCGGTCATCTTCGAAAGCCGTGAAACAGCAGTGGCGGTTGATCTATTTTTAGAAAGTCCCTTGCATCGATTGAATAATTGAAGACGAAATGTTAGCGAAAACAGAATGTCTCAGTCACTTCCTTATCTAGGTGAATTTTAGTTGTAAGCGAATAATTTCGTATACCTTCAACAAAGCTAACCTCACGCAGACAATCAATATAAAACTCTCCTTCAACCTCGCATAGGTCACGGAGGACATAGCGGCCGACTAGGTGACGATCCGTTTCGCCAACTAGACTGCATGTATATATAAAATTTACTTTTAAATCATTTAATACAAATATAAAATTTCAGACATTAAACTATTAAAATTTCTTCTCGACGTAATTCGATACGCCCACAAAAGTTTCGTTTATTAACGAAAAGATATTTTCGCATAACAAACATAAGTGTAGTTCGATATGAGAATATATAAAAATGATTAAACGACATGCAAGTTATAAAATCTTTATAGACCAAGCGTAATTTCCAGTTATTTTTAGCTCGATTAATATTCATAAATTACAAACTTCACATATAAAAGCCAATAATTTTATATATAGTCTATAAACAAAACTCATTAACCTTTCACAGCACTTTACCCATTTTTATACAGAACTGATAATACAAGGCTTTCAGATTAGCTACTGCACTTTCCTGGAATCTCTCCAACCGTTACTGTTCTATCACTATGAACATAGGAACAATACAGGTGAAATATTTATATAGGCCTATTCAACCGCCGTGGCATTATCTATGTAACACAAGAGATCATTGAGGATCTTGTAACCCCACTTAAATCGTTTATTTTTATAGAAATAAGAATTTAAAAAAGAAATTTAAATTAACAGAATTTTAGCAACTTTTTTTTTTTATGTAAAAGAATGTACATTTTAAGAAGGAAGCAGTTAAGTAATAAATTTATTAAAAAGTTTAAAGACTATTCTATTATATTGTTACTGAATTTATAATAAATAATTATACTTCATAGAAAAAAAGTTGTTTTTAATCAATGCAAGTTATCCTAAAATAAAATCGTTATTCTCTTCATCATATTGATCAAACTACTATATTGATTTACAAAACTAAAATAACTTTCTCTGGATACGAAAATTTCATCATATCTAAAACATGTTAATGTAAAACATTATAAAAAAAATATTATTTCAACAAATAATCTTTTAAGATATAGTCATAATAATAATAATAGACAGGAAACAGTATTTGAACAATAAAATAACTTTTAAAATGAAAACAAGTGACATTTATACAAATTCGAGCATTTCACAGATGACAGTAAAATTTAAATAATTTATCAATCGAATTATAATTACACAGATGCATTTAGCGAACAATACTACCTATCATCGAATATATTCCATACTCTCGGTTGAAAATATAAATCAATATTGTATTTCGGCAAAAATAATAGAACAGGGTTTGTATGATAACAGACTCCAGAAAGGTTATGCGAACCATCGTATTTTCGCTAACAACTCTGAGGGCTGGATCAGTTTTTGCTGACCATGGCAGGAGGTGGGACGTGGGCGTCACAAGGAACTTTGCTCGATTTATTGATATGTCCTACGACCGTCCTAAAGGTGTACGACAGCAGCGCCACTGCAGGAATGACGTCATGGAAATGTCGGCTTTCGAACCAATCACGCGGAAAGTGCAAATTTTAGAGTTGGATACGTAAGCCTAACCGCTTACCATTTAACCGAAACGAAACTTCCCAGGACGTCCTCGAACAGTTATAAAGTTCATTAGTCTGTTAAGAAATTTGGCGACTTAGTAAAAATTTTGTAAATAAACTACGTAATGATCCGTTTTTTCCAGCTTTCGCTTACGTTCGTGAACTCGCAGCTAACTTTGTCGTATTTGTAATGTGTTTATAGTATCTAGCCAATAGCGAGATTGTTATCGCAACGCCTGTAAATCTGTCTTTCTAGCAAACTTTATTGTCGGACGGAAAAACCGAATAAACTATTACAACTTTAAAACACAAGATCTTTAATATGAAATAAAAATTAAATCATTTATTTGTGGAAAAAATTAAGCGTTTTTAATACATGAAGTGATAAAGGTTGTTTCTTCTCGAATGCTTTTAAATAAACGATATTAAATAAAACGAATGAAGAGTTAAGAAAAGATATTTTAAATTTAAAAAGTATATATATTTAAAGGCTATAAAATGTTTATATTAATTTCCAGGAGCGTTTACCGTGCGAGAATAATATTATATTCAGATTACTAAGAGGGATAATCAGTCATTAAGCGATATAAAAATGACTAATTGCTTTCGCACTCCACAATTTAGTTAATGTGAATAACATATATTCAGTTTAAATAAGAGAAAATGACTATTGTTTTCATTAATTATATAATATGTAGATAACAAGAATACAATTAAATCTCTCAGAAACGTGTTTAACTTAAAGCCGTTATTTGTAGGATTAGATAGTAAAGAGAAACAAACAAGGCTATAAATTGTTTGGTACAATCAGAAGCAGAACTATCATCTTACTGAATTAGTATGGAGAGACTTGGTGTTAGTTTTATTGCTTGTGAATTGGTTGATGTTTACATTTCAAGTATGCAATCTATCTTAATTTTTTCACCGTCATATAAATTATGATTTAAATTTGTGATTAGATGTATGCATATAAAAAGCTTATGTAAATATTTCTAAATTTTGTACTTTTTGATTAAAAATATTGATACAAGCTTTACTTGATATAAAAAAGTATTAAAAAGTTCTGTTGAAAATGATATGGAATTAAAGTTAAAAAATAAGACCATTTGAAGATAGAAAACGTTGAAAAGAGATTAAAAATGAACATTTCGGTTTTAATTTGTCGTAATATTTTCTACTGATCCACAGATATTTGTTACGTTAAATTAACCATTTTGCTATTTCCGTATTGGCATTTGTTGCTATATTTTATATACGACGGAATATAAAATCAAGAAAAGATGTATTGTCTCGGTAATAACGTCTTGAAACATGAAAAGCTAATGACAGAATATTTTACATTTATAGAAAAATGACATCAAAACAGATAGGTACTCACTTATAGGTAGAAGAGTATTGATAATTTGTGACGTCACTGCCTTACTTTATTCCTATTGGCTAATAATCTTTTCTCTCTCCTCCCAGGGGTTCGGATCCTCCCGATATGGACTCAAATGCCAACAATACAAAGGTGCGTCGTGCTCAGAGGTTACCGAGTCTTCGTTTAGCTAATGGTAGGATTAACTATGGTAGTCCGTCTGAAGAAGAAATACGTTCCCCTCGTAGTCTCCATAAAGAAGACTCAATTAAGATTAGTATTGAAAATACTAATACGTGTTCAGACTCTTTAGTAACTGCAGCTGATGACGATCAAACTCTTGTTAGTGATTATATATCCCCGGAAATGAATTTTAAAGATTCAAAAGTGAACACCGCTGCCGGTGCAGCCAAAGATGGTGATAAGGACGATATTAGTCTATACGGAACTCCTAAGGAAGAAATCGGCCCGGGACTGTCTGAAGTTAAAGCTTCCTTCATGAGGAACCAATTAGAAGCACTGTTTCAGCCATCGGATAATAAGTTAGCAATGAAATTGTTTGGAAGTAAAAAGGCGCTTATGAAAGAGAGAATCAGACAGAAGGCTGCGGGACATTGGATCATCCATCCATGCAGTACTTTTAGGTAAGTTTTCTACTCTCTAACATACTTTTTATGCAAAACTTTTATTAGCAATGATTGATTTAGTTTAAAAAATATGAAATTTTAAAGTAATTTATGCAAGAAATATGTATAAAATTGAATGGAAAATAAGTAAAATGCATCTATAAAATTATGTAACACCAAAAGAAAAAGGAACTAAAAGGAATTTTTCATAAAATTAAAAGAAAAATTAAAATGAAACTAAATTAACTGATTAAAAATAATGAAATGTGAACTTAAAAATATTAAAAGTTAATTTAAAAAAAAGAAAAATCACTGTAAAATTCATCAAATTAATTTGTAAAATTGAAAATCATGAACCGAATGAATTAAAATATGTTTTTTTACATAAAATTTAGGAAAACAAATGGCATTGAAAAAGAATCAAAGTTACATAACTGATTTATATCAGAAACTATAAATCGAATCGTTTAAATATTATGCAGTTTTTTTTATCTTTTTATGGAAGATGTGCAAAAAAGTAAGCTCTTCGTTATAAAATGTCAGACATTGCGAATAAATAGACTTATTACATTTATAAGGATATAATATGTAATTTGTAGCAGAATGATATATTGATTTTAGCTTCTAACCTACTGAATGTAATATAACTGATAAGAATAATATAAAATAGATTTTAAAAATAACGTTACTTTTGTTGTGTAAGTATTCTTCAGATGTCGACTGCATACTTTGAAATGACATGGAATATTTTTAAAACAAAGATGAATAATACATTGCAGTTTGACAGCTCATTCGACAATGTTGCGTTTGTTCGGTGAGTAATGGCAGTGGACTTATCGGCTTTCCTGGAAGATAGTCCTTCACCGTTCCATACTTTGTACATAATGGAACTTTTGGTATGCCATACAAGCCTTTATATACTCCTTTGTGCAAAAACAGCCGTTTTCCTTTTTACCAATTTTTATGCACAAATTACTGGCTAATTTCTTTTATATGATGCTTATAGACTTATTTGAACATTCACCGATTATGGCGAATATTCAAGATATATTTTGTGCGCTTTCATGCTCTAGATTTTATGCTTTGATGCTCTTTTTGTGCACATATCGTGCTCTATATGCACAATATTGACTTTCTCGAAATAATTTTTTTTAAATATATAAGGTAGTTTTTTAGAAGCCACTCTTACTGATTAACGAGGTAATTTTTTCCGAAGGTGTTTGCTATTTTTAGCAATCAACTCGGAGTAGAAAAGTCGCTTATTTAATTGCGTGTTTGAAAGATTATTTTTTAGCAACTTTTCGAAAATCGACGAAAGAAAACTTGACCGAATATGACCCGAAGCGAGTAATTTTAGTTAAAATAGGTCAAGGCTAAGTTAGTAGCAAGATAGATTCGTGCGGTCATTGAACAAATTAACTATAAACTGAAACCTGACTGGGCAATTCGTATCATTTAAATGCGGATTTGAATACGGTTTTATATTTAGAAATGGAAAAAAAATGAAAGGATAATTTTTTTAAGTTAACCTATTGATTTTCCCTCGATTTAAGCTATCGTTTTTTAAAATATAATATAGGCTTACTATTATTAAACAGCGTAACTTAAAACAGTAAATATTTCGTATATTATGTATATGTACTGTACTTTGCAAAAAAATCTTATAAGTCAATTTTATTAAATTAAAAACTAAAAAAAAAAATTAAATAAATCGTTTCGTTTAGTTTTAAATTTATAAATAAATTTATAATTTGTTAATTTTCTAGACAAAATTTTTATGGAATTTTTTTCCGAAATATTAAAAAGGCTTTACCTTAGATAATTACCAAACATTTAAAATTATTATTTTTTGTTATTCAATTGATATTAAATTAAAAATAATTAATTGATAGTAAAAATAAATATAAAAATAAGCAAATTAATTACTGTATTAGAAAATTCCTTATATTCGAAGAGAAATTAGATTCTTTGATTCTTAACTAGAAAATAAAAGGTTTGCATGTAAAATGAATGAGAATAATCAGCTTAATATTAAGAAAGAGTTGATGATAACTTTTAAAATTAAGTCTTTAACTTTCTTAAAGAAAGAGCATAATCCTTAAGCATTTAAATAATACTTATCAGTTTTAAATCAAAATAATTGATGTGCACCTGCTAAATGTTCTTTGTTTAAATGGCGCAATAATTGCTTATTAAGAAAATAAATACATCAAAATTCAGATATTATCGTATGCGACATCCAACAACATCCGGAAGAACTTTTTAAAATCATAATTGAATCTGCAAAATTGATTTTCTTTTTATTAGAAGTAAATTGTAATTAGAAGCAATGTATAGGCCTATATTATAGATCTATACGTGTAATTTCTTTAGGAAGATATTTAAAAAACAATCAAAATTCTGTTTAATCTTATAAAATGTCATTAACACAGAAATGTTAAAATAGCTGAAAATATTACCAAAAATTAATTTCATATACCAAAAATACTTTTACTTAGTTCGGAAAATTAAAATTCTGCAAATATTTAAATGATTGAGCTGTGGTGATTAAATTAGGAAAAATCACCTAAAGCTAAATAAGTTTTAGCTTGTCATGTTTTTAAATTTAATAGAACAATAAAAACTTTTTTAAAAATGAAGTGAAATTTTTTACGTAGCTATTATTTTATATATTTTGTAGAAAATGTCAAAATTATCATTTTTAATAGAGTTGTCTTCTTACTATATTAATTATTTATTAGTATATCAGAAATTCATATTATTTCAAGACAAGTTTCTATTCTAATTAGATTTTACCTCTACCTTTTCTAAGATATTTATAACAAAATACAAAAATTGGATTATCAAAAATTCTAAATATTCAATTTATTATTATTTCTGTTAATATGTATAAACTTAGTAATACTGTTTGCTAAATAAGGAATTCTTGCCTATTCGCTAGAGGATTCGAATCCCATTTTAGATTGGGTCATTTGTATTCAGTGATTTTGAAAAGAGATTTGTTGTGAAAAAGAAGATTGTGGCATTCATGTTTTTTTTTTCGAATTGTCCAAAGTGGAAATAAAATCATGTAAAATTCCAATGAAAACTTTACTAATTATAATGCCCAAAGGTGTGTTTTATATGGATCATTCTCAAAACACATGCTAACTGTAAATTAATTTACTTCGGCAACTACTCGAGTACAAAACGAATAGGTAGGCCTATATTGTAAGGAAATTCGAAAGGAAGATTGAGAATCAAGTGTTATCGGGACAGGAATTAGATTGACCTCTTTCCAACCATCACCATTCGATACTCGAAAAGTTTAAATGCTGTAAGATGAAGCCTGATGCAAGTTTAAATCTAAGATTTACTTACACGTCAAACGTTATCTATGTCACACGTTAGTAGTTAAATTTTAAATTTAAGATATGTCCAGAAAGTTAATTTATAAAACTATATTTAAAATGTTGAAAATTCAAGAAAATAATATTTAGAACCGAAAAAAGTAAAATTTGGAAGTTATCCATAATTGCTTTTACAGTGTTTCTTTCGTCTTTATTTTACTTTTATACATCAATGTATCTTAAAATGTATTGAAGCACAAAAGGTACTATATACTTAACTAATATAAAATACATAAGTCTGTCAATAATAAATTAATACAGTTTAAGAATTTTTATTGGATAGTTTAGTTGAGAGCGAATTTTTCCAATCGTTTAAAGTTGTTATTGATGAGTCGATTACTGGGGAAGTTGCTATCTACTCTATGTCATTGTATAAATAGTAAAAGACTAAGTATTTTTGTCAGAAGTCTCCTTAACTAGTTTTCTTCCCTTCCGAACACAGGTTTTGTTGTGTGAACTGTCACTACTTGTTGTTTTTATCGATTGGAGTAGTATCTCAAGTCTACTGTGGAATGACCCACTTGAAATACAGCACCAGACAGAAAACTTTCCAAAAGCCAAAATGTTTCAAGATTTACTTAAAAGAGAGAATGTCCTTAAGCTTCAATCGATAGAGTACCACACAACATTTGTTAATTTGTTTAGTAATTTGTTAAAATTAAATGATATCTTATAATTATCTACCAGTATTAAAGCTTCAAAAATGGGAATTTGTTAAGCTCTAAAAGTTCTTATGATAAATAGCACTTAAACATTTATCTAACAAAATTTTGTCACTCCTTCATGGCATTTATTGCTGTTTTTGAAGTTCATTCCTCTCCGAACAAATTGCTGAACGGTTAAAGAGCAAAGACGAGTATTTAGGTTATATGAAAATAATGAACCCATTCAACCTGAAGTTTTGTTGCTTTCTATTGATCTTTTGATTAAATATGTATTGATGTTCTGAATTATTGATCGACTCTATACTTACTAGAATGGAGATTTATATTTCAGCATCTCTTTTTTTCTAGATGGAAGAGTATAGATCTATTCTGTTTTTTCAGCGTAAAGTACTATATAAAACGCTCTTGACAGGCTTACGTTTATTCGCAACAAGCATCGGAAATAAATTATAAAATACTTTAGAAAATTGAAAACCAAAATCTATTTCTTATTTATCACGTGAAGGACTGAAATAAAAAACAAATTAAAAATATATTTTCAAAATTTGAATCTAATTTCGATAGCAGTTTTAAAAAAAATGATAAAAATAATATCTGTTAAATAAAAATTTAGCACTACTGAGGAATAGCAAAATTTTTTTATAATAATATTTTATTGTCAATCTTCTTCAGATTTTTCTTGTTATTTTAAATCTTCTCGTAAAAATGAATCAATAAAAATTCTTCTGAGTTGATTCATTTTTTAACACGCGTTTAAATTATTATATAAAAAATAAGAATGTATTTAGAAACCAAATTTAGCAGTTAACGTATTATTCACAATGCATAAAATTAAATTAGTCATATGTATTGTGTTTTAGACTCATATATATATATTAATATATCCGATAATTCATCGTTTAATGTTTTAAACAAACACCGAATAAAATAATAAAAAATTTTTATTTCATATTTTAAAATTTTA